CCGCCCCTGGATCGAATTAAATACGCTGGTCGTCAGTTTGCAGAGCACGCATTAAAAACAACGACGTATTCTTCTTGCATGCGTTGCTGCATTTGTTACGAACCTTTGAAACGAGGAAAACCTCGTTTAACCTCGAACGGATAACACGACTTTTGCGAGTGAACGCGCGTTCAGGTGTTTCCAAACCTCGCCCCGGATGCGCCACCGGAAGAGGAATTGTCCGTACGCGAGACGCGATACTGGGGCATCCTCAAGAGTGGTCACGCGCGTTTCATGGCGCCTATGGCCGAGAGACGCGACGTCCTCTCCGCCGCCGATTACCTCATACTCTTTCAAAACCTCGACGAGTTGCTGAAAATCTCCGAGGAGATACGAGACGAGGGAGGAGGAATGGAGAGCTACTTGTGCAGGGTTCAAAGGATCACCGCCGCTTACAGACGATACCTGAGCGGTCTGCAACGTGCCTGTTGCCTCTTGGTCGCTCTCAGGCGAAACACCGCGTTCGCCAAGCTAGTTTGCGAACCTGCTGTCCTGCACAAGAGACGACCCGATTTGACCGGTGTCTTACTCTTGCCTCTAGAACATTACAGGTGCGCGCGCATCTCCTTTATTCGCCGATCGTCGCTTCACGTGTTTGCAAACATTGCAGAGAGATGACGAGACTGTTGAGTCTGGCGTCGCCGAGAAATTGCCAGCCTGCCAGAGACTTGATTCAGGGGTACAGGGAAGCGACGGCTAACGCAGGTGTGATGGAGCCACCGCGTGATGCCGGAAGGCCTCTGCTCAGTTTACAAGAGGTCGAATCTCGACTTGTCTTCGCCAGGTGTAAACCGTTCACTCTGGCCATGCCTGGTAGACAATGGTGCGTCTCGATTCGTTCCAAGAATCCGCTACGATACGATCCATTACATCTTACGCATATACGCTTCGTACGATGTTTTAGGCTGTTCGGAGGTGCGCTCGCAAAAGTGGAAGGACGTGCACGGCTGCAGCCTTCGTGGGCTTTGCTTCTCACCGATCTACTGGTGTTCGCTCGAGTCTCTAGAGACCGCGTGCTATTCGTAACAGAGGAACCTCTGCGACTCTCTAACATCGCCGAGGCTTGTTTCACCGTCCGCAAAAAGCCCACCGAGTTTCGGCTGCAAATCGCCATCAATCCGTCTGGAAACGCGGAGAACGGTCACGTCGAGGTGAGCAACAGCAGCGGTTGCAGCCCTCACGGTCGTCCTCGAAGACGAGTTCTCGTATTGCGTGCTCCAACTCCGGAGTTAAAAGCTGTCTGGCACAATCTTCTCCAGCGACAGATGTAAGTCGTTCGTCGCTCCTCGACACGAGTTTCGTGGAACTCTGATCCGGTACGATCGTCGTTTAACGCTCGAGTCCTCTGAAAAGAATCCTCTGTTGCTCGCCGTACCAAATTCAGACCTCGACGTGGCTCCTGTAAAGCACGTCGCACACCTGAACGATCGGCAGTATCGTTTGTCTTCACTAATTCGTTATATTTTAGAATCTATGTGAATACAGGCTATGGGGGAACGCCGAGCCAAGACAGTCCAGAAGAGAGTCCGATCACCGGTGGCAATTACACCGGGACGGTTAGGGAACCCACGGAAAGCTCGCAAGTGAGTCGAAAAGTAGCATCGAGGGGAGTTTCGAAAGCGAATCCTGCTGCTAACTGAATCTATCCTCGATTCGATAGACTACCAGGGAATCACAGAAACAGGAAGAAGAGAAAGAGTCCCGCTCGGCTGAGAGTATCGACGCCATCATTAAGAGTTCCAGGGAGAACAACCACCTGGCGCAATGGGTGCGCAATTCCCATCAGGTTCCTCCGCCTGATCAGGAGGAGGCTCCCATCGAGGAATGGACGGCCGAAGAGCTGGCAGCACGAACACCCAGAGAGCACAACGAATCGAGTCGAGAGAAAAATCCGCCGGTCGAAGATGTCGTCACGGAAGTGATCAACTCCGACGTGGAACAGCAGAGTACCGCTTCCAGCGCCAGCTTAAGCACCGTCAAATCCAACAGCGTAAACACCAAGAAGAACGGTAGCCTTGCTACGTCTTCCAAGGAAAATTCCACCAGTTCCATTAACATTTGTAGAAGGTGCCACAGGTAGTAATACGCGACGCGACGCGACGCGATAAACCTAGACCACGACGTGCTCTTTTTCTATATCCAATCTTTCCTTCCAATTTGCAGATCAGGTTGTCCAACGCCGCCGTTAACGAGAGATCCGTTTTCCCCGTTGCCTCCAAAGATCTCCGTTGTACCGCCAACGCCTGATTACTGCGCGAGGCATAGATTGCGAAACGGTTCGCACGATAGTCCGGGTAGAAACAGTCCTGGCTACACTCCAGCAGATGGTAACACGGAAGATGGAAGCGAAGACGATCTCGACTGCGATGGCGAACCGCCGTACAGGTACAATTTCACGGGAAATCAAGCAGTGTCGCCGTTTACGACGACGAGAAAAACTCTTCCGTCCCTATTTCGCAGAGCTTTGAGAAGATTCGGCACGATGAGCAGCCTGGATCAGGACGACGAAATCGAGGAACAAGGAGACGACGACAATCGAGAGTCCGAGTCTCCCCCTACGGGTTTAAGAGCCTGGACGGCCAGGGCAAGCAGTTACGTGGTCAGCAAGATGGCTCTGCTCGAGCAACTCGGCGAAGGCGTAGGGGGATACCTTCTTCAACCTCCAGTTCCTCCAGAAAGGACGGAATTCTCTTTAGATCCAAACGACGAGGAGGGTACGACATCGGGAGCTACGTCTGGGGACGACATCTGGGGAACTCCGACTTCTGGTGGCCCCGACGACGAAAGTTTCACCGCGAGTTCGGTAATGATACATTTTTTCTACAGTAGGGTCCTGCATCGGTAAGGCGAGCCTGATCGATTACGCACACGCGTAAGTAATCGCATCGATTTTCATCACGATGTTGCATTTGTAAAAGCTTGCTTGTACCGCAAAACTCATCGAGGCTCGATCCCCCACCCCGAAAGGTAAGCTTCTGGTATACAGTACCGCGAGTTCCTCTCGGGAAATTCGATCGAGGGAGAAACGAGGGGAGAGATCTCGTGGAACGACACGTAAGAGGTTCGCCGCACGCGTATGCACGACAATGCTTGCCCTTTGTTTGCAAAGAATGACTAGCCCGAGCTGTGCTGTGACTTCCCTAGCCGCCGCCAAACGGTGCAGGCAACGCAGTTGCACCCGGCGAAGACAACTACGGGCTGAACCTGTCGACGGAGGACGACGCCGACCAGGAATCCGAGAACGAAGACTGCAATCTGCCAGAGTTGAATATGGAGCAGTTGCTTGGCACCGGTAGTCTCAGCTCGTTGAGGTGTTTCCTGGGCAGAAGGAGGTTGGAGCCATTGCCGGAGGAGGAGGACTCCTGTGGAAGCGGGAAGGATCAAGTTGGATGGTGGTGACAGCGGTTTCAAACGACGTCGTCGAAGAACGTCGGCTCGAGCTCTGATGCGAACGAAAGGGACCGCGTATTTGCTAGACTGAGCCAGGAGGACGAGGAGTTTCGTCGAAAAATCGTCAACCTCCATAGGAAATTGTCGGACGTGGAGGACGGTTGCGTGGCAGAGTATCCCTCGGCGGATAATAACTTCAAGAGCTCCAAGGAGGCGGATCGTTTGAAGGAGCTCGAATCGGTGGCACGCAGAGCGGAGGAGACCAGCAACAGAAACGCGGCGAGAATCGGAGCGGAAGAGGCCAAGAGGGAAGAGTATTCGTCGACGGAATTGGGAGATACGAAGGGTCGCCGATTCAGACGAGGCGAGACGCAACACGATCGAAGAAGAAGGATGGAATTGTTTCAGAGAAAGAAAAAATTCGAAGAGGATTCGGATGATCAGAACGGTAACAGTCCGTCGAGGACGACGGAGAAAAATTTCTTAAATAAATTGAGGATAAAGAAGCGCAGCATGAAGCTGCTCAGTTTTTTAAGCGGAAAGGCTGCGGACAGGTCGCAAGAAGAACGTGCCGCGAGACTTTTGAGGATGTACATGCCCGAGAAAGGATCGAAGGCACAAAATACTATTTCTATTCATCATACGTCCAGAGACAGAAGATTTTGGAAGCTTCGAAGCCGAAGGCGAACTAATTCCTCTTAGAAACGAGAGGCGATTCTAACGCAGGACACGTTCGGAGGACGGTCGAGAAGCGAGAGGGAGGAGGATACGACGGAGAAACGGCCGTTTTCTTTGTTATTAGGATTTCCAGTATTCCAGTTATCCAAGTTTTTTCAATTCTACTTAAGCACGTACGAGCTCAGACTTGTTTTCATAGAATCTAGGGTAACGATAAAGGGAAACTTAGGTTTACGATTTCGAGTCTAGACTATTTCTTCGTCCCGTAAACGGTTTCAAAGTAAAGTCGAGTACATTCGTCGGAAACGGTTAGCCGATTAAGAAAAAGTTCGAGAACGCGGGAATCGCGTTCCGCATTGTAGCGTGCTTGCCAGACTTTTAACGGAACCATCTCTTTCAGAATGATTCAAAACGGCCTAGTGGAATGTCTTTGAGATAAGTATAACGTTCAAGATGTTTCGTTTACCGCGTAAGACTGCTCGTCGATCTAGTCTCGCTCATTAAGGTTTAGACAAAAATTTGTTTCATTTTTGGAACACCGTATTTAAGTAGGTCCGCACGACTGACCCAAAGCGGCACTCATCTTCCACGATAGATTTTGCCCGAACGTACAAAATGCAAGAGAAAAAGTTGCGGCAAAAAGAGAAAAAAAAAAAAAAAAATGAAAAAAAAAAGAAGAAAAAATGACACCGAAATTTTAACATTACCGTTGGTAGGTTGTAACATAGCCACATGGCTGTAATCAATATACAAATAAAGTATACTATTTGTTCAAACGTTTTTTCTTTTTCTTTCCTTATTTCTCTACCATGCTTGTTCATTGTCTATCTTACAGTAACAATTTTAATATTGATTATTTCATATGAGATATCCCTTTAACCACAGAAGTTTAAGCTTCTCCCCTATAACGTGATCCTTCAGTCGTTTTACGGAATTAAAGTACGCCATTGTAGCTTCGTAACGTGCAGGGTCAATTTTTCCAGTGACATGAATCTTCCCAGACTCGTGGACGTAGTATTCCGTGGATTCGTTGAATTCTGGTAACTTTTCGGGTAATTGTAACGGGCAAATTTTAATTAAATGTTTAACTTTCCAAAGCAGGGCACACATTTCCGGCGTATTTTTTACAAACACCGGATCACGTACCTGCGAAAAATAATTTACACGTGGAACAGAAAATCGCGTAAAACTATCGATCGGTTTAAGGTTAAGGTTTCGTTTCTTACTCCTTCCTCGAATCCTAATTCTTCAAGTACATTCTTTTCCCAATAAGGATTGCCTTTGAAAGGTTTCACTCTCAGAACCATAAACACTTTCGAAGGTGTAATCGGGGGATCTACGTGATTATTCGTGCTGAAAGAAAAAATGTTCTTCTAGGCAAATATTTTGAAGACAAACGTCGGAAATAGTATTCCTTTTCTTACCGTGGATGAAATTTGACATTTCCGTATCTGACGGCATCTTTGAGCCAAGCTTTTGTATAATGTCGTTGACCACGTACAAATGTTAACAAAACATTTGCAACACGTGTCGCCATTCTCCAAAAGTTATTGCGAATACCTTGAGGTTAAGTCGAGCAACTGTAATTCCTATTACCAGTAACGCAAATTGCTACCCATAATCAAAACATTCTTCGTATCACTAAAACATCTTGCAACAATAAACTCTCAACATTTACGTTCCTTAACGCACTTCACTATTTACAATCTGCATCTAACTCCTCGATACCTAACCTAAACGCATTACGCAGTTATAGGTTTTTCGGTTTGCGCATGCGTCTCATCTGCCCGGGCTTTCCGTTTGCGCATGCGTCTCATTTGCGCGCGTCTTTTAAAGGTTTGAATTTAGTAGCTTGTTAGTTCCTTTGATATTGATTTATTGCATAACGTTAAACAGAAATATAAAGGCTTTTGACTAGTTCGGACATATTTATTTCGTCTTAAGATTAATTACAATTATTGCCTAGAAAGGATTCCTCGCACGGTAATACGACGCTAGTGTCATCCGACGACGAATATTGAAACGAAAGATGCATATCGATCGAGTATTTAAACAAAAAAATATTTATAACTAAGTGAACGGAGAAAGAAAGAAATCTAAACTAACTGGACCGTCACACCTTTGGAATATCTTTAATTTTAGTATCCGAACAATGAAATTACAATAAAAGTTCCATAATAAATACGAATTACCGCCAATGTTACTCCATACCGATTTAACGATTTAAAGGATTCGGCGGAGGAATTTCAAAAGGATCAAACATCTCGAAGCGTTGTAAATTTGTCTAGGCATTTTCGCAAACACGACAGAGCGGTATTTGAAAATTGTTCGCAGAACCGAGATGCTCGAGAGCATTCAGCAGCACGTTTGAATGCATTGTATTTCAACGTAATCTTCGAACGCGCAGGGATTACCAGGTTGTAGACAGACAGCTAGCTCAGGAACGGTAGGAATATTTAAATGTACGCGAAACGCAAGCTCCGATATAGCAGCTTCATTCTCTTCGTTAAAAAGGTATTCTTTTATTTTCTCCCTCGTTTCCTGAATTTTCTTTCCCTCGGAACGTTTAGAAAAGAATCGTAATTTGAACGGGGAGACTGCCGACAGCAACGTTTACGACAGGCACTCTAATATTTTTTGCTAAAACTGGATCCATAACACTCGAAAGGGGAAGAGATTTCAAGAATTTCCCAACGTAAATTGGATATCGAGGAGCGCGGTTAGTCGTACGTTTCGAGAGTGCAAGGGCCGAGGAGCATCGAACGTATGTAAGGTATAGATATATAGGTACATTCGATTCCTTTCAGTATATCGCGTTTTCCATTCTGGGGGATTTTCAGTGGAAACTTACTCTCGCGGAAATGATACCCGCGTTATAGTTAGGAATAGGGGAGAAAAAGGGAAGAAATGTCCTCGTTCGTGTTCCTCGAAAGTTTACAAGGAGCCAGGTGGGGTATTGCACGTATCCGTGTCGAGAAATTTCTTCGATCTTTCTTCTCCTGCTCCTTCCCCACACGCGCACACCACTCTAACCCTTCGTGCAAGTTTGTCAGCATGTTCTCCAAATGTAACAACAAATCGAGATCGGAACGGAAATTGGAAATTTACTCAACCGTTCGCGACGGTACAAACGTAATACGCAGGTACGACATCCCCTGTGTAACGTGCACGTAAAATGTTGGAATTATCCAACGTAACGTTATACGTAGCACGTTCGCGGGCATAGTTGCGGTTAAAATGTCGATTAGATCGTGATTTACGGGAGCACGGTGACGCGTTCCGGTAGGTCTGCGGACGCGACGCTGTTCAATTACGCAATGTCGGCCTGGAAATTTCGCCTGGTGGACCTCCGATATCGAGGAATGCTTCGCTGGCTATATTTCACACGTTGTCAGACTAAGTAATTTCAACGGGACGCTTAATTCCCCTTGTTTTTCCCATCTCCGTGGAAAACGGCTGTTCCAATGTCCATTCTATAAGAGACACCGGTAATCTCGTTTCGGTGCCTATTGTGGCTTACGATCCAATTCACGAAACAGAGCAACGATCCAACCTTTCCGTTTCTCAATCGTTTATTACGAACGCGTGTATTTTCGTGCGTCGACTTTATGAACGTCGCGCGAAAAGTTTCCGTCGAGATCTCGACGAGAAGTTTCGAGGACGGATCCAGGTCGACGCGGAAGATTAGCACGCGGATATTAAAGTTCTCGTCGCAGGAGTGAAGAGTTTGGAAAGTTTCGCGATTCAATTTCGCGTGGCTCGTATCGGCTCCGGGGCCGATGTGTCTCAAGATTCCGGCGATTTGTCAGATTTCTGCGAAAACCCTGAAAAAACTTTCTTTAGTAGTACGTATGCGACTGCCTAACGATTTATGCCTTTCTCTAGAACCGCATTTTTTCAATTGCCAAGAATTGTTCTCCGGGCGGCGCCCAATTTAACTTGGATAATGGTTAAAAGTTGGCCGAGAACTTGAAGTAAACTGGATGTTGTCTCGAATCGAAGGTTGATTGCACCTTGTTCCACTAGTTAGAAGGCGCGGAAAGCGCGACGAAACTGAACTGAAAGGGAGAGAGCACTCGGAAATTCATAAAACTCCTTCTTCCCCCCCCCGGAGAACGTGAAATCGCACCGGGGGAAAAAGCTCGTTAACCGATCTCGAGATTCAGCAATTTCGAACTTTCTTCCAGCTCGCTTCAAAGTTTGCGCTCTTCTCCCGAGTAGGTGGCCCACGGTTGATTTTTCTTCGGGCTTTGTTTCCTTTCGCGTGTGCAACTTTTTCCCACCAGCGTATCAATCGATCCGATTCGAGATCCGATATTCAAATTTTTCCCGAAACAGTTTTAACGAAGTTCGTCCACGACCCGTTCACCCAACACCGCGAATTTTAATCGAATGCAGGTATTATTTTCTTACGGTAGATCGACCGGCTTACCAAGTCGGTACGAGCACGCGACGAAAACCATTTATCCTCGTCCTTTTTTGCAACTGAAACGCGGGCAACGTTTCGCCACAAGTATTAATCGCGGAATCGAATCACGTAGTTGTCCAGGTCGTTTTGATAAGAATATGTTATTAAATCAACTGGATCAGTCTGGTTCGCATACGGGGCTAAGGGATAAATTTTCTATCCGTAATCTAATTCAGCTTTCCACCGATGGTAATTAGGTTCATTCACTCGGGGCAATTACAGTTGTTTTATCTCTCTTCTACCTAAGTATACATTCGTAAGTATGTACGTATGTACGCTTTCTCGAATCGAATTGGAGAAATGCTGGAGAAAAGCTCGTCGTCGCTTTCGCTTTCCTTTTTGTCCCAGCTTCGACAAACATCTGTAACGATTTTCGCCTATCGCCGCTACTCCAAACGCTTCCACGAATACGTCTCTGTTATTATCCGGAAGAAACTCCGTTTGGAAAAGGCGATCGGAAAGTTGCTCGAAATAGGGGGGTGTGTAATCGCGGATCGGTTCGATCCAAGGGTAAACGGTCGGTATATAGCTGTAAAATTGGAGAGGCGGTCCGTGATGGCGCTTGGCGTGGCGATCGGCTGGAGACTCGTGCTCGGTGTTCCCCTCTGTAAAAGCCGCCATAGTGGGGATAAGTGGAAACGCGTACACGCGAGTCCGGCGTGTAGAGAGAAGCAGCAAAGTCGGACCTCGAGTAAGAGGCAGACGGAATTCACAGACGGCTCCTCGTGTCCCGATGTAAACCAGTAGGCGGCATTTCGAGCTCGTTCGTTCACGCACGAGGGTGGTTTTCCTCTCCAGTAATCCTCGATCGTAACGAGCTTCCCACACGGCTAACTACCACCGATCGATCGGAATTACCTCGAGCATGCCGTTCTTCAAGAAGCTCAGGAGATTCTCCAGGCACAAAAGTGAGTCCTTTATTTCTCTCTCCTTTCGGACATGCAACACCGATAAAACATATTTCCGACAAAGAAAGATTTCGCTTCGAAAAAGCTTTGTCTCCAATTTCTTCCCAGAGTATCCATGTATATAGTAATTATATTTTCGTAAGATAGCACGTCGTTGCCGGCCGAGTTTCGCGTAATGGAATTCCAACGGCGCGGCGCACCGCGGCGCGGCGAGGGAAGTCTCCCGGGGAAGAAGTTGCAGTCGAGCAGCTCCCGTCCGATTCAACTCTCCTTCTTAATGTAGTTTCCAACTAGTCGCGACGTCCTGTTTGCTCTAAGCATCCACATCCCGCGAAACGCCATCGGGATCTTACGTACCCCACTTTCCTTCTATTTTTCCTCCAACAATCTGCTCGAGGAATAACGCCGTTCGAATCGCTTAACGCACAGCGTGGAAATAACGTAATTCGTCTCGCGTGCGAAAGATTGCATTCGGATCTTTCGTCAAAGTTCACCGGTGCGACCGGAGTCGAAAACGCTCGTATTTACCTACCCTACCCTACACCTTTTCCCTTTCTACGTAACGCGCGCTTCTTAATCACACCTTTATCCAGCGCCACGTCCCATTTCCTTTCACCTAGAATAATCGCTCTCGGTCGTTCTCTACGTCGTCGATTATTTGGCGCCAAGAGCTTCCCGGTGCGATTGCGATACTCCCAGCGTGTAATTTTCATCGATGTAGCTTCGATTCGCGTGACGAAACATTTTCACTTTCCTCTTCGACGCAAGGCCGACGCGACGTACGAGTGTTTCAAACACACGCGCGCTATCGTCGTCACCATCTTAGAGTCTTCCCTAATCCGAACGTTCGTCGTGTGCTCGCTAGACAAAAATTTGTTCAAATTCCGCTCCATTTTACAAGGGCCGCGTGTGGCCGCGTTAACGGCCGCTGTTCCAGCCATTTTTCTCCCCGCTTGAGCCTCGCGCTGTAACAACCATTATTACGTCTTCTTCGTACAATCCTCGTGCAATCCTCGTGCAATCGAATTAGTTGCGAAACGCGAAACAAACGTGTAACCGTTTATGAAATTAGCCAAAGTGTCGTAAAAGATGAAATGCTCCGATTCACTTTCAACTACTACACGTGTACTTTGCAAATGAGAATCGTTTAATCGATCGAATCGACGACGGCTTTCGACGATTATTCTCGCCGATCCCGTTGTTGTTGGCACAGGATGAAAAAGCTAGCAGGCAGGCGCGAGCAAAGCTCCGAGTATCGTTAGTCCTTTATCCTTCAATCCGGAGGCGTGGCTCCTCGAGATAAAGCGAATCTACGCTTCGGATACTCTGAAATTTATATACCTTCCTGAATCCCACGGAGGGGTTTTTTCTTCTTTCTTTCTCCTACCGAATTATACGCCTCTCTCTCCATATTCTTCGGGGACAAACATTTTCGACGGTGAAATTTATTCGAGGATTTTTCTTCGACTTAAACGCTACGTGGCTTAGCCGTTAGGCGAACGCCGAGGATTTACCATTCGCGGCCTCTTTACGAGAGGATTCCGGTGAGTAAGAACGCCATATTTACCCTCCTATTAATTCTCCATTTACAACCGCGCGTGAAATTATTCCGAGAATCACACCTAGGCTAGATACCGGTAAAATCGACAGATTCGCCACGTCGCGACGTCGGGAGAAGAAGGAAGAAAAGAAGAGCATCTGTATCTCGCGTTCGTGTCTATATTTACGCTTGGCCGTTCTTCTCCTACGATAATGGTTTATTTCGAGACTTTAGAGCTGCACGATCGTGCACTTTGTATCGGTGTCACGGCGTTATGCAATTTATTTCGATGATTCGTATGCACCAGTCGGTCGCGATCAGATTGATCTTTGCTCGGTTTCGAGCGTCGAGCGCGCAGTACCGGACCGACGACGGTTTTCCGATCGTGGTGTCAAGTTCAGAATATAAAGAGTCGCATTTCAGAACCAGTTTCTCCACGAGTTTGAACAGCGTGGTCGTTAAGAAAAGAAGAAGAAAAACGGGATCGGTGTCGCGCGCCACCGTATCGCCTAGTTTTCATTCGTAGACAAGGCGCAAGAGATTAATCTAATCTGCGCGTAATTAAAGAGACAGATGGTCCAAAGTGAATTAAACTTGCTAGATAACGATCGTCGGCGTACCGATTCTTGACGCGACAGCGACCATGCGAAAAGCAAAGGGAGAACGGCCCGCTTCCGGTTCCGTGACCCAAGGCACAAGAGGAAAATGCACCGACGAACCCCGCTGGCTTCGGCTTTTCAAGAGAAAGAAATTGGATCGACGCGTGACGATGCCACCACGATTCTTGCCGCATGCAGGTTACGGCGGAAAAAGGGAAGAAAAATTCCCTCGATTTCGCTCGTGGGCCACGTTTAATTTCATCGCATTTTTCGCGTATTTCGTCCCAATTCCCTCTCGAAAACCCTCTCGATGACTTTGCCGATGCTCGGAACGGGGCTCTAATTTTACGGGGTACGTTTGCAGTTTCCCTGTCCGTTAAACGTTCCAGCAGCGCGACACAGTTACGTCCTTCGTCCTGGCGTTCCATCGTGCTTAATTTCGAGATGTTACGGTTGTCTCTGTCCTTTCCGTGCTTCCACCAGGCGCACATTCCCTCGTAACACAGAGGTATCCAGAGTGTGCGGAAATATCTTCGTAGCAATATTTTAATGCATATCTTACGCGCCTCGCCGCGTCGCCACGTCACGTCACGTCTCCCCACGCGTACTCTTCAATCTCGTTTTTGTGCTCCCGTCAACGCGCAAGTTTCCCCCGATTAAATCTACCATTTACAAAACTGACACATCTCCCGTTGTAAATTCCACGCTATCCGTCCTGTTCAAATTGCTCCGTAGCTCCTTGAAATTCGCAGCGGGTAACGCGTTGCGATATTTATCGCCAACGAAAATTGTATCGAGGTAATAATGGTCGTATTGTTTCTGAATTCTGTCGCGTTCCGTGGAATAAATGTATAAGTAGTTCTACTACATTTGGGCGATATTTCTTCGCGGGCGCGAAAGAAGTCGTCTGACGCGGTTACAAATCTCCCGCGAATCCCGCGCATCCATCTCCGAATTATTTCTCTCCGAGGCAGCGTAGCGCGAGTACCTATGTGGTACGTTCTCGTTGAAAATTGCTCAGGCGCTTTTTGCCGAGAAATGACGCGGAGACTGCGCGCGATGCTGATCGATGATCTCTCCAATGTTCGTAGAACGTTTCAAGGAAAAGTAGAGAAAGAGAGGTTCGAGCAGAAAACCAACGACCACGAGTCCGTGCCGCGAATTTTAACAACGCTATACGGAGCTCCGTCGATAACCGCCATACGAGTCTACGGTTATTTCTTTCGGTCGCTACACACCCTCTTTTCCCTCGTGGGAAAACTGTGGCGAATATTAAGACGAGATTAAAATCGATTTATCAAGGAAGAAATCTACTTACACGCGGCGCCATCCTTCCTACGTGATGTAAATTGAAATTCGCCGGGAAAATAAATACGAGCTATGGCGCGAGTTCGCGGATATCGAATCCGGGGGGCCGGTGGCAACCGAGAGGAATGTCAATTATGCAAATTTCGCGGAGGAGCAGAGCGGAATCGTAAAGAGCGAAAAGAACGCGGCGCGGTGTGCTACTCCTCTGGCAAAGTTGCGCTTACTCCACGACCCCGTACATAAAGTACACGTGTACGTAGTAGCTATACGTATATTGCAACCTGAAATGTCACTCGGGATATTCGCTGCGAGAGTTGGTGGACACCTAGAGCGTGCTCGAGAGACAGGCAAATAACACTACTGACCCCATCTTCTCCATCCCTCGAGAAATTACCCCATTTTCACGCGCGTCTTCTCTCTTTCCTCAGGCTGTATAATACGCACCGCGCGCGCGCGCGTTGCCTGGGGAAAGCATTCGTTGCTTTCCACGAGATTTACCACTTTTTCGTAGCTCTTTCAGAGTCCAGGTTGTAGAAACAAAGGGAAACGCGGCTGGAAAGGCTCGCTCGCGCGCGTTTCTACCTTTTCTTCGTGGTTCGGCTGCGCGCCGTGCCGCGCCGTCCATGCTTTAACGAAGAAGAATGGCGAGACGCGTTTACGTCGTCGAGCAACCCGATGGAAAACGCCAACCGGTCTACAGTGATAAACAGTCGCGGGGGCCTTCGATTATTCGCAGCTTCTCCAAGTTGCCGCGTGCGAAACGTACCTTCCAAAGCATTCCCCCCGGCACGGCAACTCTTTCCGTTCCAAGTGCCGCTACTTTCGAAGAAAGGGATTAAGCGATAGAGAATCGACGTGACTAGGCGGCTAGGCGGCTAGGCGGCTAGGCGGCCCCGAAATATCGAGCGGAACGCTGCTTCTCTTCTCTTCTCCGAGCGGCTTTTGCTTTTAGCACGAGAACGTCTCGAGGAGGTATCGAGGCGTCGCGCGATCGTCAGACAAAACCGACGAGTCAGCGTCCTCGTCGTGTGTACTCGGTGGGTAATTAGAGGGTGGTAGAACCGCGGAGTGTCGCGGTCGCGGTCGAAAGTGAACGGCGCTCTCCAATCGTCGCGATAATTTCTCGACTTCCTTCCGAGAGAGAGACGTGTGCATGCAGTTCCCCGAAGGAAATGCCTGCCAGAGACTCGATTCTTGCATCAGCCGCGTCCAGCCCAATTACTCCCTCCGCTCTTCTCTCCTGCCCCCCGCCGCCTCCTCGCCCTTTTTCCTCCCCTCTCTTTTCCCTCAGCACGCTGTAATCGGCCTTCCAGACAAGACACGACGACTCGTTACACTTACACACTTTCAACCCTGAATTCTTTCGCGTGCCTTTCCATCGCGAGAGACTGCATACAACTTGCATCAGCCGGCCCCCGTCCAGTCGATACAGATATAGCGTACCTACATACACCTGCCGTAGCCGCCTAACGGTCGCGCGCTTTTTCTTATTACGCTGATCGATCTCTTTCTTTCCCCCTTCCGCCGCGCCGCGCCAAGCCGTTCTTTTTCTC